GGCCGCCAGGACGGTAAGGTCAGCCCAGACGCGCACGTGTGGCTCACCCACGGGTTTTGATCCTCGGCCCTCTGCCGCAGCCTTGCACCTGTCGTCGTACTGCTTGCTCGTGCGCCGGGCCTCGGACATGTACTTGTTGTCAGTCTGGCAAAATATCGTGATGAATGTAGCCGCATGGAGCTCTCTGATCTCCAAGCTGTTCTTCAGAGTGAGGGCGGCGACCAATTCGAGAATCTATGCGAGCAGTTCGTCCATGCCTGCTGCGACCTTCTTGGCTGCCAGAGCCCCCTCCTGCGCACCGCGCTTCAGCGACCATGCCTCCATGGTTGGGAAGTGTGAGGATCGAAGGAGAAGATATGGGGCTGTTCCAGAAAATGTGTACAATCAAAGGGTAACAACGAATGGCCTTGTAATGTGTTGGATGATGAGGATGATGAGGATGATGATGCTGCTGCTGCTGCTGATGATGATGATGATGATGATCAGCATCATCATGATGATCATGGTGTCATGATGATCATGATCATGATCATGAGGATGAGGATGAGGATGATCATGATGATGATGGTGATGGTGATGATGATGATTATGATGATGATGATGATGATGATGATGATGATGATGATACTGATGATAATTATGATCATCATGATGATGATCATGATGATGATGCTGATGATGATGATGCTGATGATGGCTATGATGATGATGGCTATGGTGATTGTGGTACGGAGGATGTTGATGGTGCGGATGTTGCGGGTGATGATGATGGTGACGATGATCATGGTGATGATGGTGATGATGGTGGTGGTGATGGTAATAGTGGTGATTGTGGTGATGATGGTGGTCTTAATGATGATAAGGGTGATGTTAAGGATGCGGATGAGGATGAGGATGGGGAGCATGATGATGAGGAAGTGCATGAGGGGGGGAGGAGGCCAGTCAGATGCTGCCAGGGTTTTTTTGCCCAGTCCCGCCCCCTGGATCGGAAGGGGACTTGCTGCCGACCGCGGAGAGCCCTGCTGGCCAAAGGGCCAGAACGGCTCTCCGAGGTCCTATAGAGCAAATTGACCGAGCGCCTTGCCCCGTCTCCCTCTCCTCCACCCTGCTCGTCGCCATCCTCCTCCTCCTCCTCCTCCTCCTCCTCCTCCTCCTCCTCCTGCTCCTCGTCCTCCTCCTCCTGTTCTCCTCCTGCTCCCTCTCCTTCCTCGCTCCTCCGCCTCTTTCATATCCACTGTTCTCCTCTTCCTGCTCCTCCTTCTCCTCCTCATCATCATCAACATCAGCATCCTGATCATCATCATCATCATCATCATCATCATCATCATCATCACCATCATCATCCTCCTCATCATCATCAGCATTATCATCCTCCTCATCACCATCAGTATCAGCATCAGCGTCATCAGCATCATCATCATCAGCATCATCATCATCATCATCATCAGCATCATCATCATCTATCGCCTTGTCATCCTCTTCCGTTTCCTCCCCTCCTCATCGTTTCCATTTTCTCATCCTTCCTCCTCCTCTCCCTTCTCCTCCTCCCCTTCCTCTTCTATTCCTTCCACGGATAGGTAACTCATCCCTGTCGCACCCCGAGGTTGGTCGAAAGGGTGGGCCGAGCGTTTCGCCTGAACGTTCCTCACAAATTATGATCTTAAGCTTGATCTGTGCAACAGCTTCACTGATAGATGGCGGCCCGCTTCAAAAAGATGGCTCTCACTATAGCGCCGTGCACATTCGTTAAAAACCTACAAAAGCTGAAAGGATGGAGGGCGGTCCGTTTTCAAAATGTGTGGCTCTCGTCCCGGGAATGGCATTCTGGCACAGTTCCGGATTTTCAAGCGGTTCTCTTCCAACTGGGCATTTCCCACAGTGAATGTGGATCCGTGTAAGGGCTTATGAAGATGGAATTTGGAGGATTAGTGTGTTGCAATGTCGTTTATGGGTGTTGGATTTACACTGGTCCTCCTCGTCTTCCTCCTCCTCTTCTTCCTCCTCCTCTGGTCCTCCTTCAACTTGTCGTCCTCCTGCGACTCCTGCTCTGCCTGCTCTTCGTCCGCCTCCTCTGCCAGATCCTCCTGGCCCAGCTCCTCCGCCGTACCTCCCAGGACTGCTAGCAGGAGGGGCTCTGCGGACCCACCCCTGTACGGCGCGATGTTCGTTAAAAAAACCCTCGCGCAGCTGAGGGAGAGGGAGAAAAGCAGAGCGGGAGGGAGGGAGGGCAGAAGAAGGGGAGAGAGAGAGAGAGAGAGAGATGCGTTCTTCCTCCTCCTCCTCCTCCTGCTCCTCCCCCTCCTCCTCTTCCTCCTCCTCCTCCTCCTTTTCCTCCTCCTCGTCCTCCTCTTCCTCTTCCTCCTCCTCCTTCTCCTCCTTCTCTCCCAATATGAATGCTACTCTCCTCTATCCCCTGGTGGCGTCCGGGGATTCTTCGGCCCCCCTCCGCGTACTTGTTTTTACCCCACAGGATTCCCGGGAGTTGGGTTTTCGCTTGTGTTTTTTTCAAAATGGTGCTCTCGCTGAAGCGCTGGCCTTATTTTCGGGCTATCGCTCGTTCCGAATCGTGTTCCTGCTGCAACGCTGGCCTCATTTCCGCGCTTCCGCTCTTTCCGAATCGTGCTCCCGCTGTAGCGCTGGCGTCATTATTTCCAGCGCATGCCACGGCATGGTTTTCGGTCCTTCCAAATAGGCCCCACAATCTAGAAAATGGTCCCCCGAAAAAACCATCGGAAGTGATTCCACATGCGGTGCCGATTCGTTGGTTTTTTGGGGCTGCAGAAGCGCCCCCCCGCCTTGGGGCGTCGCCACGCCATGCTACGTCAGGCTACGCGTCCTCATTTCGGCGCTTCCTCGCTTAGGTTTTTGTTCGAAATGCTGCTCTCGCTGAAGTGCTGGCCTGATTGTCCTACCGCTCGTTCCGAATCGTGCTCCGGCTGGTCCTTTCAAATAGGGCCCAAAATTTAGAAAATGGCCCCCCGAAAAAACATCGGAAGTGATTACACATTCGGTGCCGATTCGCTGATTGTGCTGTGTCGCAGAAGCCCAAACACTTTGGGGCGTCGCCGCGCCATGCTATGTCAGGCTACGCGTCCTCATTTCCACGCTTCCTCCCTTGGGTTTTTGTTCAAAATGCTGCTCTCGCTGAGGCGCTGACCTCATATTCGGGCTACAGCGCTGGCCTCATTTCCGCGCTTCCGCTCGTTCCGAATCATGCTCCCGCTGCAGCGTTGGCGTCATTATTTCCAGTGCCATGCCACGGCATGGTTTTCGGTCCTTCCAAATAAGCCTTGAAATCTAAGAAATGGCCTCCCGAAGAAACCATCGGAAGTGTTTACACATTCGGTGTCGATTCGTTCGTTGGTTTTTTGGGCCGCAGAAGCCCCCCACACTTTGGGGCGTCGCCACGCCATGCTATGTCATGCTACACGTTGATCTTCAACACCATGTTATGCCATGTAATGCTACGCCATGCTACGACATCCGACTGTGCGAATAGAGAGGAGATCTACGCCATGGTAAGGCATGGGAGGGAGGGGTAGGACGTCAGATATGACGCGAGCGCACCTAGCTTGTCCCCCCCCCCCTCCTCCCCCCCGGTGTGGGCAAGGAGGTGGGAGAAGAGAAAAGAGGGAGGGAGGGGAAGCCTTGACCCTCGGGAGAACCACAGCTTGGTATTAGAGGGGACTCGTTTTCAAGGCATCCCCTGGGCCCCTCGAGATGTTGCCGTGCTGCGTTCGCGGCCAAGCGAGCATCCAGGATCAATTATGGTGGGACTCGTCTAGAAATTATGCCACCTTGTTTCTCCCCCGCGTGCGTTTCAACATAACTGTTCTGCAGGAGGGCGTGGGTGGCTCCTCCTTGTCCCGCCGCTGCTGGTCATCGTGCACGGCGCGAGGGGTCAGGGAGAGCGCAGGCAGATCCATCAAGAAGTCATCGTTGTCATCGCTATTCAGCAATGGTGACATTTCGGAGAGTCTTCTTGCTGTTACTCCGAGAGTGAGGTCGTCTGAGTGCCACTGAGTCTGAGTATGAGTGAATCTGAGCATGACCAGGCTGAGTATGCGTGAATATGAGCGAGAGTGATTTTTTGCGAGTGAGTCTGTGTCAAAGCCGAGTGTTATTGATTATGTGTGAGCGTGCTTTGAGTATGGGTGATTCATACGATGACTGTGAGGCTTTGCGTGAGTTCGAGTCTGAGTGAGTCGGTCCGTGAGCGGGTCTGAGTGTCAGTGAGTCTGAGTCTGAGTGAACCTGGGTATGCCTAAGCTGAGTATGAGTGTAAATGAGTGTGAGTGATATGTGTGAGTGGTCTGTGTGAGTAGGCATGTGCGTGAGAGTCCTTCTAAGTGTGATTGAATTTGAGTGCACGTAGGGAGAAGGGCCGAGGTGGGAGATAACGAGGAAGAGGCTGAGGCGTCACACGAATAATAATAATCCAAGTTCAGGATATGGGGAATAAATCTGGTTGATGATGTTTGGAAACACGTTTCACAAAAAGCTCGAGCCGCTCGAGCCTGTTGCCCCACCTTCCCACTTGGGCGCGGAGAGCAGAGCGGCGCAGGGTGCGGTCCCTCCGCCACCGCCGCCGTCAACGCTGTCGGCGAAGCGTTCCCTGCGGCGGCGGCGAACTCGTAGGCGGCGGCGGCAGTGGCGGCCTCGTCGTCGGCGGCGTCGTCGTCGTCGTCGGGCGTCGGGCGTCGGGCGTCAGGCGTCCGGCGTCCGGCGTCCGGCGTCCGGCGTCGGGCTCTGTGCGTCGGGCGTCGGGCGTCGTCGTCGTCGTCGTCCTCGTCGTCGCCGTCGTCGTCGTCGCCGTCGCCGTCGTCGTTGTCGCCGTCGCCGTCGCCGTCGCCGTCGCCGTCGCCGTCGTCGGGCGGCGACGGCGTCGTCGTCGGTGACGGCGGCGGCAGTGCACGCAGGCCCGGGCTGGGCAGTTGTGCCCCAGTGCTCTCGGGGATTCCGTGCGGCGACGGTCGGCGGCGGCCGGTGACGGCGACGAGGTCTCTCCGCCACGCGGTAGACGAGCTCGAGTACGCCGCCGACCAACTCGACGCCGGCCGCCAGGGGCCGTGGGCCTCGCACGGCGGGGGGCCGCTGCTGCAGGACGCGCGCCCCGCCCCCCTGGGCGCGCAGGAGCGGCACGGGCGGCGAGGGCGGAGGAGGCAGACACCCTTACGCTCGAGGAGGAGGAGGAGGAGGAGGAGGAGGAGGAGGAGGAGGAGGAGGAGGAGGAAAGACTGCTCGCCCAAGAGCGCGAAAGTTGTATCGTTGCAATCGGAGTAGAGTACACTAGCCATCGCCAGCCTTGCCACCATCAACCTCCCCAGGGCCCACTGGCCCTGGGGGGGCAGGGGGGCACCCTGTGGGGGGAGGGCGGCGTCAGGAGATTCGATTGCCTTCAGTACCTCAGTGCTTCAGAGAGGAGGAGGAGGAGGAGGAGGAGGAGGAGGAGGAGGAGGAGGAGGAGGAGGTGGGAAAGGCGTGGGGGGCGCGCGTCGGCGGTGTGAGGAGAAGCTTTCGGCGCGCTTCGGCTACGCTCGAGGAGAAGGTGGTGAGAGTGGGGGTGGCCAGAGCTCTGCGGGGACGTCGCGTTGCTGCAGCTTGCCGTCGCGTGTTCGGCCACGCATGGGTCAGGAGCGGGGCAAGGGCAAGTCCAAGGACCAAGTCAAGTTCGACCCGACCTGCTGGCAGCCCAGCATGGTCGATCAATTTCTAGAGTGAATGGCCAGCAACCACTACCACGTGGATACGTGGTCCCGGAACACGGGCGTCTACGTGGATTGGGAACGCGAGAACGCCTTGCACCAGGAGTTCCAGAAGAAAAGGGAGGTGGCCAAAGGTGAAGGACGCGGGGAGGGCCAGGCACGCAGCTCTGGATACACCGACAACTGGACCGGGAAACGCCCCAGGCGCTGACCAGCTTGAACCTTCCCCCCCTGGCGACGCACAGCGTGCCGCATTACCGTATCTCCTGTTCCCTGCAGGTCTCGTGGCGCTGTACTCCGAGTACAACCAGCACGTCGCTGACCAATGCGCCCTACCCTGGCTCCCTATCCCCTCCTCCTACGCACCTGGACCTGGGACCGTTTGTCCCCCCTGGTCCCGCACCTGCTGCGACAACGGCTGGGTCTGCAGCGCCCTGCTGCAGGAACCCGGCGGCCCACGGGCGCTGCCATCCATACGGGCGCAGGGATCGGCCTCACGCGCCCCACAGGGGCACTGTCAAGGGGTGCAGGGCTACGCGCTAACGCACAGTAGCGCCGCACGGTCCTCTTTGCCACGGGTGCCTTGCCCGTGCTACCATACCTGGCACTGGCGCCGCGTCGTCCCTCACGAGTGTGGCCTGGTCTGCGCCTTCGGCTACCTGTCTTCCTCCTCCCCCCTTTTTTCTACTTGCATATGGGACCGTCAGTCCCCCCTAATCCGCTGAGCCTACCTGCCCCCTGCACCGCCCGGGCCGCCTTTCTGGTCCCAGCATGGCGGCGTCCTCGTCCACGTCGGCCTGGTCAACGTCTTCGGCGACTTGCCCTCCTCCTCCCTCCTCCTTCGTTCACCTGGTGATGGGACCGTTTGTCCCCCCTGATCCCGCAGGGTCTCCCTGCACCACTCGGCCACGCGCTGCTGCTGGTGCGGGGCTGCTCTGGCGACCGCTGGCTCGCTGGGCCGGCCTTTCTCCTTCATGCCCGCTTCTCCCCCCCCCCTGCTCGCTGCCCCCCCCTCCCATGGCGACTGCGCCCGGCACTGCGCGGCTCCGGCCCGGTGCCTGGCGCTTGCACCTTGCCGCCTCGGCGGCCCCGCGGGCCTTGGCGCTGCGCGGCTTCTGCGGTACGGCAGCGCAACGTATGTGGCTCCTGCCCGTTCCCACGCGCTTGCCACTGCGGGGCAGGCCTCCTCCCTGCAGCACACCGGCATCCTGTCGGATATGGGCGGCAAGTTACCCGCTTCGCCTGGCCGCCGCGCCTCATATTGCGGCTGCTTTCCCATGTTCGTGGATTGGACTACCACGGCCTGGACCTCTTGGGCATCATATTTGGTGGCACGACGTTGCACTCCAACCCAGTGGTGCTACTCTTTCTCTCGGGCGTCATCCTGGTGGCGTGGCGCGTCCTCCCCCGCAGTTGATGAGGCTGGTGTTCTCGAAGCGCCGCTGACGGCACCACCGCCGACTTTTCGCTTCCCAGGACTTCGCCACCGGGCCCCTGTCCAAGGCGTACCTTTTCCTGCACTTCATATTCGGCACCGCCTGATCCCAGGGCTCCGCCCTCTCTCGGCCTTGACGCGAGGCACCGCCTTCTTTTGCCCTCCCTCTGCTAATTAAAGCTGCGCGCGGCCCGCTGAGCTTCTATCGGAAGAGGTTCGCTCTCGCCCCGCAGATCAAAAAGTTCGGCCACGCTCAGTGTCCGCGTGGGGGCGCGCGTGCCACAGACGGGCTTCGGCGCTCGCAGGAGGAGGACGAGGAGGAGGAGGAGGAGGAGGAACCCTCCTCATCGCCTGTAGCCTTCGCTCGCTGTTCTCGCCACCGGCACCGATCAGCGAAGGTCGAGCAGATTCTGCCCTTCAGTTCACCAAAATGCAGCTCGCCCGCGCGAGAGCTCCAAGAGGGGGCGAGGCGCGGGATAGACGAGCACATGCTGCGCAGGCTACATACGAAGAGGAGAATTAATTAGGCGGAAGGACAGACGCACTAGTGGGCAAGGGCACTCCGCATTTTCGCGTGGCGAAGCCAGCGCCCTCAATGTTCGATCAAACGTGAAAACGCGCGCCAAATGCGCACGCGCCAGACGCGTCCTCGATGCCTCCTCCGCACCAATACTTTCGCGCGCGACGAATCCAGTGTCCCCATGTTCGGCACCGCCCTTGGCGCCTGCACGCTTGAAAACAAGCGACAGATCCACGCCGAGGCGCATGTTGGATACCCACTTTGGGCGCTTACCCCCGTTCGCGCGTGTAGTCAACATGTGTGAGATTCGACGGCCAATCCGACTCGCCATGCTGCACACCCTTCTGCTCTAGGGCCAAGGGCCCGACAACACGGAGGGAACCATGAGCCGATGGCCTCACC